GCACTCCAGCCTGGGAAACAAGAGCGAAACTCCGTCTCAAAAAAATAATAATAATAAAACACATGAAAAGATGTTCGACCTCATCAGCCAGCAGTGAAATGCAAATCAACGATCGATACCCAGAAGACTGAGCAGAAAAAAACCCAAAAAGAACTAAAAAATTCCACTATAATGAAAACCCGCTTTACATGTGCTAGGATGGCTATGATCAAAAATACGGAAAATAATCAGTGTTGTGGAGACGCAGAGAAATAGGAACTCTCACACTGCAGGTGGGAACAGAAAATGGTGCGGCCAAGTTGGAAAACAATTTGGCAGTTCCTCAAAATGGTAAACATGAAGTAACCATATGATCCAGTGGTTTGTCTCTTCGAGGGTATTTCACGTGGGAGAAATGAAAACCTCCATCCATACAAACAGCTGAATGGCATGAATGTTCATGGCAGCAGAACTCACAGTATTCACAGCAGCTAAAAAGGTGGACGACCCAAGTGCCCCAACAAATGAATGAAAACACAACACACAGTGCGGCCACACAATGGATATTGATCAGCCAGAGGCAAAAGGCCACACAGTCTATGAATCCACTGATACGAAATGCCCAGAACAGGCAAATCCAGAAAGACAGGAAGCAGATGAGTGCTTGCCAGGGGTGGGATGACTGATAATAGGGAGGATGGGGCTTCTTTTGGGGTGATGAAAGCGGTCTGAATTCTGATCATGGCAACAGTTGCACAACTCTATGAACATACTAAAAAAAAAAAAAATCAATAAATTGGACACAATTCATCATTAGTATTATTTTTGAGACAAAGTCTCACTCTGTCACCAGGCTGGAGTGCAGTGGCACAATCTTGGCTCACTCCGCCTCCCATGTTCAAGCGATTCTCCTGCCTCAACCTCCTGAGTAGCTGGGATTACAGGTGTGCACCACCATGCCTGACTAACTCTTGTATTTAGCAGAGACAGGGTTTTGCCATGTTGGCCAGGCTGTTCTCGAACTCCTGACCTCACGAGATCCACCGGCTTTGACCTCAAAGGGCTGAGATTACAGGCAAGACCCACCGCTCCCAGCCAGTAAATCAGACAGATTTTAAATGGGTGAATTGTATGGTATGGTATGGGACTCTCAATAAAGATATTAGAGATATAAGATGAAAAGGAAAGGGCTGCCTGCTAGGCTCAGGAGGGAGTGGGGACAGGAGAACTGGGTGTGGGAGATAGTGGGGGTAGGGGTGGAAGTCATTTCAAGAGGGGCATGGATTAAAAGCAGCCTGAGCCAGCCCAGCATGTCCTAGGACGCTGGCAGTGAGTGAATGGCTGGGCAAGGCAGAGAGGGGAGCAGGTGCCAGGCTTGGGGCCACCAGGCCTTGAACAGAAGCAAAGAAGGTAGGTCTGATGGGGGAGGGCCGCTGAGGACCATGGCTCAGGAGAGGCAGGGGACCAGCCCAGCGTGGTGGCGTGCACCTGTAGTCCCAGCTACTCAGGAGGCAGATGTAGGAGAATCCCTTGAATCCAGGAGATGGAGGTTGCGGTGAGCCAAGGTCGTGCCATTGCACTCCAGCTCGGGCAAGAACAAAATTCCATCTCAAAAAAAAAAGGGAGGGGCAACGGAGGAGGACAGGGGGCCTGTGCACTTGCTCTTCTGTTGCAGAGCAGGCTGCTTCTCAGAGAAGCCCTCCTGGCACATCCTGGCTTAAGTGGGCCCAGGTTATCCCAGGCCTCACCAACTAGAAATCCTGGCATGACATGTTGTATCTCTTCAGCTCAGCTGTGAGCACTTGGGGACAGGGCCCCGCACCATGTGCTCACTCAACAATGAAAGCAGGGCCACAAACAAACAGCACACCAGCAGAGGGGAATCCTCCTCGCTCCTCTGCTGTGAAAGGCTGGGGTGGGTATGTATGAGCTGTAACAAAAGTCCACGACCTTAGGAGACCCAACCCCAAGCAGTGGTATTTAGGGCACCACAATGCTGTGTATTTATATAAAAATCAGATGCCACGGCCCGGCGCGGTGGCTCACGCCTATCATCCCAACACTTTGGAAGGTCGACGCAGGCAGATCACATGTCGTCAGGAGTTCGAGACCAGCCTGGCCAACATCATGAAACCCCATTTCTACTAAAAATACAAAAAGTAGCCAGGCATGGTGGGGCACACCTGTTATTCCAGCAACTTGGGAAGCAGAGACAAGAGAATTGCTTGAACCCGGGAGGCAGAAGTTGCAATGAGCTAAGATCGCACCACTGCACTCCAGCTTGAGTGACTGAGCAAGACTCAGTCTCAAAAAAAAAAAAAAAAAAAAAAAGAGAGATGCTAGAAGTGGGGAGCTCAGGGAGCCCCCAGGGCTGGCGTCCTTCTGTGGCCTGGTCTGGCTACAGGTCTCACAGGTGCACATTTAGAGAGAGACCCTGTGTTGCACACCTGAGATAGCTAACCTGGGTAGACCAGGTTACACCTGAGAAAAATGAGACTTGGCCAGGCACAGTGGCTCATGCCTGTAATCCCAGCACTTTGGGAGGCTGAGGCTGGGGGATCACCTGAGATCAGGAGTTTGAGACCAGCCTGGTCAACATGGTGAAACCCCGTCTCTACCAACATTACAAAAAAAAAAAAAAAAATTAGCCAGGCGCAGTGGCAGGCACCTGTAATCTGTAATCCCAGCTACCAGGGAGGCTGAGGCAGGAGAATCACTTGAACCTGGGAGGCAGAGGTTGCAGTGAGATGAGATCGTACCACTGCTCTCCAGCCTAGGCAACAGAGCAAGAGTTGGCCTCAAAAAATAAAACATAAAATAAAAGCCTGGGTGTGATGGCTCCCACCTGTAATCCCAGCACTTTAGGAGGCCGAGGCAGGTGGATCACCTGAGGTCAGGAGTTTGAGACTAGCCTGACCAATATGGTGAAACCCTGTCTCTACTAAAAATACAAAAACTAGCCAGGCATGGTGGCAGGCAACTGTAGTCCCAGCTACTCAGGAGGCTGAGACAGGAGAATAGCTTGAACCCAGGAGGTGAAGACTGCAGTGAGCCAAGATTGGGCCACTGCACTCCAGCCTGGGTGACAGTCAGACTCTGTCTCAGAAAAAAACAAAGAAAAATGAGAAAACTCAGAATGCATTATATTCCTCCAATGTGTTCTGGGACAGGACTCGTGGGCGAGATCCAGCCTGAAGCCTCTTTTTTTTTTTTTTTTTTTTTAATTTTTGGTAGAGGTGGGGGTCTCACTATGTTGCCCAGAATGGTCATAAACTCCTGGGCTCAAGCCATCCTCCCGCCTCAGCCTCCCAAAGTGTGGGGATTCCAAGCATGAGGCATCTGGCTGAAAGGCAGCCTGTTTTTGTATAGCCCTCAGGCTAAGAACACTTTCCATTTGTAAATGGTTGTCTCAGTAACTGAACCATTCTGGCCAGCCAAACCCAAAATACTTGTCATCTGGCCCTTTATAGAAAAAGTCTGCCAATCTCAGTTCTGGGATACAAGAAAAACAAAAAGGGAAGCTGGCCGCGGTGACTCATGCCTGTAATTCCAGCACTTTGGGAGGCTGAGGCTGGAGGATCACTTGAGCCCAAGAGTTTGAGACCAGCCTGGTCAACACAGCTGAACCCGTCTCTATAAAAAATAAAAGGAAACCGGCTGTAGCTCACGCCTATAATCCCAGCACTTTGGGAGGCCGAGGTGGGCGGATCACGAGGTCAAGAGATTGAGACCATCCTGGTCAACGAGGTGAAACCCCGTCTCTACTAAAAATACAAAAATTAGCTGGGCATGGTGGTGCGTGCCTGTAATCCCAGCTACTCAGGAGGCTGAGGCAGGAGAATTGCCTGAACCCAGGAGGCGGAGGTTGCAGTGAGCCGAGATCGTGCCATTGCACTCCAGCCTGGGTAACAAGAGCGAAACTCCGTCTCAAAAAAATAAAATAAAATAAATAAAAGGAAACCAAGAAGGAGCTGAGGAGGACTTTTCACTTCACACTGACTTTTCTACTGTCTGAATTGTTACATTTTTAAATTACCATGCTCATTTTTTTGTTGTTGTTTTCTAATCGAAGCATAATGTGGATGACATGTAATTTAAATGTAAAGTTTGATGAATTAAGAGACATGCATTCCGCAGAGCAAGGTGGCTGTGCCTGTAGTCCCATCCGTTTGGGAAGCCGATAGAGGTGTATCACTTGAGCCCAGGAGTTCAAGCCAGCCTGGGCAAGCTGTTGAGATCCCATCTCTACAGAAAATACAAAAAGCCAGGTGCAGGCTTATACTCCCAGCTACTCAGGAGGCTGAGGTGGGAGGATGGCTTGAGCCCAAGGGGCGGAGGTTGCCGAGATCACTCTAGCCCGGGCAACAGAACGATACCCTGTCTCAAAAAAAAAAAAAAAAAAAAAAAAAGTAACGTATGTATTCACCCTTAAATTATGTTTAAAGGTTTGTATTTGTCTGTTAAACCTGGGGACTGAGTATGGGCACCTTTTAAGTTCTCTTTTTCATTCTTCTGTGTTGAGCCCGATAACAAAATTTAACATGCTACCTAAAACATTTGAAAAGTTTAAGAATAAGGATTGCTGGGACACTTTGCAGGCGCGGGGCTGCCTGCAGGGAACCACCGCATCGAACTTCTTGTAAATTACCCCCAGGTTCCAGGTTGCGGCCTTAGCCTTGCCTTGGGGAGTCGCGGCCTCTTTTGGGCCTCAGTTTCCGCATCTGAGAAACCCAAGGGTGGCCGAGGGCCAGGGCGCAGGCTATGCCTCAGTTTAACCTACGGTAAAATGTAAATAATCAAAGGGACCAATCTCCTGGGCTGTTACGAGAAGGAGGCGGAGCTGGGAAAGCGCTCAACAAACTGCAGCAGTTACTGTTATTATTATAGAAGCTATGGGGGATCTCCGGACTCCGCCTCCGGTCACACCGCCGGGGAAACTGCGGCCCGCTTGTGTCCCCGGAACCCCGCCCCTGAGTCCCGAGTGCCCAGACTCTGAGACCCCGACGCAGAGAGATACTGACCTGACAGTCCTCGACGCGGCAAGTTCCGTTTGTAGTCGATGGGCCCATAGCCCCCCGCCGGGGGCATGTCCTGCTTCACCTTCGACGCCGCCATACTCACTGGATCCCGCACTTCCGGCTCCGGGCGGAAGTGACATGTGCCACCGCCATGATGAGTGTGGCGGAATCATTTGAGATCATCTTCCGCAGCGCTGGGAAGCCGCGGGGACTAGTGTAACTACTCGACCGCGCCTGAGAGCTCTGACTGCTGACCCTGGGTCCGAATGCGCAGCTAGGCTGCAGCTGAGGAGTCATTATTCCTTCTTTCCCCCAGACCGGGCGTGTCTCAGTCGCTAGGACCCCCTGGTTCTTGCATTAAAGGCCCTCGCGTTCACTTTGCTTCTGGGGTGTTGTGTAGGCCAGTCAGAAACTCGGAGCTCCCTAGAGCCAGGTGCCCCAGTTAAGGCCCCTTTTCCCGTTTTAGCCCTCGCTAGGGACTCTACCGGAAGCCCAGGGCTCGACGTAGTCACGGGCTGGGTACATGATGTTGGGGAACAGCTGCTGCTCGATTTCGGACTCAACCCAATCCCAGGAGCGGATTCTGCTCCCTGGTGGTGGTGGGTATCCCTCGCTAGTGGCCTCTCATCGGAAACTGACCATTCAGGGTAATTATGAGTCACAAAGCAGGGAGGCTAGGGTGGCCCCAGGGCGGGGTCCCGGACCCCAAGGCGGAGTGACGCCCGAGGCCACTTCACAAGGCAAAAATTGTTACGGGGCAATAAAAGGCGTAACAGCGGCCAAGGAGCGGCAGTGGGCACATGGGGGTGCGGGGATGCAGGTGCCAAGCGCCATGGGTTAGACCCGAGATTGGAGTCCGGCCGCCCCCCAACAGCAGCCGCCTCCTGCTCCGCGTGCGCCCCAGGCGCCACCATGTCGGGTGACAAACTCCTGAGCGAACTCGGTTATAAGCTGGGCCGCACAATTGGAGAGGGCAGCTACTCCAAGGTGAAGGTGGCCACGTCCAAGAAGTACAAGGGTACCGTGGCCATCAAGGTGGTGGACCGGCGGCGGGCGCCCCCGGACTTCGTCAACAAGTTCCTGCCGCGAGAGCTGTCCATCCTGCGGGGCGTGCGGCACCCTCACATCGTGCACGTCTTCGAGTTCATTGAGGTATGCAACGGGAAGCTGTACATTGTGATGGAAGCTGCCGCCACCGACCTACTGCAGGCCGTGCAGCGCAACGGGCACATCCCCGGAGTGCAGGCTCGTGACCTCTTCACGCAGATCGCCGGCGCCGTGCGCTACCTGCACGATCACCACCTGGTGCACCGCGACCTCAAGTGCGAAAACGTGCTGCTGAGCCCGGACGAGCGCCGCGTCAAGCTCACAGACTTCGGCTTTGGCCGCCAAGCTCACGGTTACCCAGACCTGAGCACCACCTACTGCGGCTCCGCCGCCTACGCGTCACCGGAGGTGCTCCTGGGTATCCCCTACGACCCCAAGAAATACGACGTGTGGAGCATGGGCGTCGTGCTCTACGTCATGGTCACCGGGTGCATGCCCTTCGACGACTCGGACATCGCCGGTCTGCCCCGGCGCCAGAAGCGCGGCGTGCTCTACCCCGAAGGCCTGGAGCTCTCCGAGCGCTGCAAGGCCCTGATCGCCGAGCTGCTGCAGTTCAGCCCGTCCGCCAGGCCCTCGGCAGGCCAGGTAGCGCGCAACTGCTGGCTACGCGCCGGGGACTCGGGCTAGAAGCCCAGGTTCCCGCAATTCCTGCAGCCGAGGATACTGAGCCAGCGCAGCGGACGCACGACAGGCGCGCTTGAGGGAACCCAAGCTGCCGCGCGTTACTGCGCATGAGCCTTCTCGCTTCCCCTTCCCTCCCCTCCCCTCCCTCCCACCCGCCACGCAGGCTGCAGTTGCCCGGGTTCGGACTCCAAGTCCTCCACGAACCGGAGAGCTGGAGGCGCATGCGCCTCCGTAATTCCTAGCCACCGGGCCCCGTGAGGGACGAGACCAGAGGGGACAGAAGCGTTGCGTCTGCGCGGAACGAGCTCAGGTTCTGAGCGGAGGGGGTCCCTTCCCCAACCAGCTGAGGGTACTCGGTTCCCGATTGGAACCTGCAATAAACTCGCTGTTCCTTGCACCTGACTCTAATGGTGGCACCCCATTTACGGACCAGTGGGGAAGGGGTTGCTCCGTCCGGGGAAGGCGGGCGCCGGGCGCGGGTCTCCTAATTTTAGTCAGGCATGTTGAGGTTCTTGCTCCAAGACCCAAAAGGGAGTCGGGAGGATTCGAACCTGGACCTTTTGGGCAAAAATCGAAGGACCTTTGTTGTCTCCGGGTCATGATGGTTCTGTGACGCTGGGCTGGGGAGCAAGTAGACCCCTCCGCCACCCATCCACATCTTTTTTTTTTTTTTTTTTTTTTTTTTTTTTGAGAGACAGTTTTTCTCTTGTTGCCCCAAGCTGGAGTGCAGCGGCACAATCTCGGCTCACTTGCAGCCTCCACCCCCCGGGTTCAAGCGATTCTCCTGCCTCAGCCTCCCGAGTAGCTGGGATTACAGGCATGCGCCACCACGCCCAGCTAATTTTGTATTTTTAGTAAAGACAGGTTTCTCCATGTTGGTTAGGCTGGTCTCGAACTCCCGACCTCCGGTGATCTACCCACCTCGGCCTCCCAAAGTGCTGGGATTACAGGTGTGAGCCACCGCACTGGGTCATTTTGTTTTGTTTTGTTTGATACAGGGTCTCTCTCTGTTGCCCAAGCTGGAGTGCAGTGGGGCAGTCGTGGAGCATTGCAGTCTCCACCTCCTGGGTTCAAGCAATTCTCATGCCTTTGCCTCCTGAGTGTCTGGGACTACAGGTGCAGGCCACCACACCAGGCTAATTTTTTGTATTTTTAGTAGAGACAGGGTTACCATATTGGCCAGGCTGTTCTTGAACTCCTGACCTCAAGTGATCCACCTGCCTCAACCTCCCTAAGTGCTGGAATTACAGGCGTGAACCACTGGACCTGGCTCACAGCTGTGATTTGAACCCAGATCTAGCCACAGTGGGGGTGGGGGTGACGGTGGAAGCCCTTCCTGCTGTGGGTCCCTGTCCTCTGGGGAAGAGGGGGTAGGGGAAGTTGGGGTAGGGCTGGGTGTGAGTCAGCTGGACCCACTAGCTCGTTCCCTCTGTTCGTTCATGTAGTCATGCATGAGCACCTACTATCTGCCAGGCCCCCGAGTTCATGGCGAAGAGACTTGGGCCCATCCCTGCCAGAAACGAGACAATTGAAAAGTCAAGTAAAATAAAAGAATGACATGGAAATAAAATAATTGTAAGTTGTGCTAAATGCCAGATAGAGTTGGGAGGTGTTCAAGGAGGGACTCTGGGTAGGGCATGGTGGCTCACTCCTGCAATCCCAGAACTTTGGGAAGCTGAGGCAGACGGATTGCTTGAGCCCAGGAATTAGAGACCAACCTGGGCAACACAGCAAGATCCCCATCTATATAAAAAATTTAAAAATTAGCTGGGTGTGGTGGCGTGTCTCAGCTACTTGGGAAGGTGAGGTGAGAGGATCACTTGGACCTGGGAGTTCAAGGCTGCAGTGAGCTGTTATCATGTCACTGCACTTCAGCCTGGACCACAGAGTGAGGCCCAGTCTCAGAAAAAAAAAAACAAGGGACTCTGAAGCTGAGGGAAACAGTCCAGGTGTTGCCCAGGAAGAAGAGAGCTGGCGTGTTTGAGTAAGGTCAGTAAGCTTATTTGCCTGGAATAGGGAGAGAGGAAGGGAGAGGAGGAGAAAGAGGTAAGGAGGAAATCAAGAGGGGACTGCACAGGGCCTGGGAGTGGCTGCGATTTGGGAAATATGGGGAAATGGGGTGTATTAGGAAATCCTAATCCTGCCTATCTGCAGATGAGCCCCACATAGCTGGTCTTCTGGTGAGTGTCCCCATGGACACAGTCCCTGCTCAGTCTCAATGGCTTTCTGGTGCCCTGGGGATGCAGTGCCAGCTCTATCTTCACTGCCTCCAAATAGGGTACAGCTCTGTCCCCCTCAGTTTTGCAGATGAGGAAACCAAGGCTAAAAGAGGGGCAGTGCCTAGACGCCAGTCCTGGCTAGACCATGTCAGAGTGGAAGCGGAAAACCTGGATCCAGGGGCCGGGCATGGGTGGCTCATGCCAGTTATCCCAGCACTTCTGGAGGCTGAGGTGGGCCAATCACTTGAGGTCAGGAGTTTGAGATTGGGCTGGCCAACATGGTAAAACCCCACCTGTACTAAATACAAAAATTAGTCCGACATGGGTGGCTTGCACCTGCAGTCCTTGCTATTCAGCAGACTGGGTCAGGAGAACCACTTGAACCCGAAAAATGGAGGTTACAGTGAACCAAGATCGCACCACTGCCCTCCAACCTAGGCAACAGAGCAAGACTGTCTCAAAACAAACAAACAAAACAACAACCTAGCAGCCTGGTGCGGTGGCTCACACCTGGAATCCCAACACTTTTGGGAGGCCGAGATGGGTGGATCATCTGAGGTCAGGAGTTCAAGACCAGCCTGGCCAACATGGTATAGCCTGGTCTCTACTAATTATGCAAAAATTAGCTGGGTATGGTGGCGCGTGCCTGTAATTCCAGCTACTGGGGAGGCTGAGGCAGAAGAATCGCTTGAACCCAGGAGGCAGAGGTTGCAGTGAGCCGAGAATGCACTACTGCACTCCAGCCTGGGTAACAAGAGCGAAACTGTCTCCAAAACAAAGAAACAAAAACAGAAAGAAAAGAAAAAGAGAAAAAAGAAAACCTAGCTCCTCTGGTTTAGTCGAAGGGTGCCGCTCCTGACTGGGGCCATGCCTCGGGCTCCCCACCTGAAAAATGAGGGCAGGAACCCATCCTAGGGGCTAGTGGGCGTGGCTTGCGAGTGGGCGTGGCTGGAGGACTGAGCCCAGGGCCTTTCCTAGGCTCCCGCTACATTTAGTTAAATCCACGCCCTCGCCCCGCCTTCCCGCCCAGGCCCATGGCACTGCCCGTTTTTGTTCATGACCTGCCACGCTGGCTCCTGCCTCCGAGGCTTTGCACACTTCTGTCACTTTTCCCCTCTTCGAGACTTGCCTAAAATGTCACCCCCTGTCCTCCTCTCAAGGTGCTTTATGTTTCTGTCTGGATAGCTCCTGCCACATCTCCAGGCCCCAGGGCGTAGCACGTCCTTTTGTCCACCGATGAATCTGTGGGAGCATATGGGGTTAGGGGGTCTCTGCCTGCCTCATGGCCACAGACCCAATTCAAAGGGGATGAGGTGTCAGGGACAAGGGGTGTCCCATTTTCTCAGCTGGAGAAGCTATTTGAGACCATGACCCAGGACCGCCCCTTGGATCTGCCCCAGGTGCACTGAGGAGCCTGTGCCCAATCCAGGGAAGCAGAGCCTCACCAGGGGCCAAGAGCCAAGCACAGGAGACAGCGCCCCACAAGAACGTTCCTCAGGCCAGGTGAGAAACACCTGTAGCGAGCCTGTGGCCACAGCTACATGGTAGGTTGAGGTGGAAGGATAGCCCGAGCCTGAGTTTGAGGCTGCAGCGAGTGAGCTATGATCGTGCTGTTGCACTCTAGCCTGGGCAACAGTGAGAGCTTATCTCAAAAATAAAGTGGCCAGGCACGGTGGCTCACGCCTGTACTCCTGGCACTCTGGGAGGCCAAGGCAGGTGGATCGCTTGAAGTCAGGAGTTAGAACCAGCCTGGCCAACGTGGTGAAATCCCGTCTCTACTAAAAATACAAAAATTAGGTGGGCATGGTGGCAGCCCCTGTAATCTCAGTTACTTGGGAGGCTGAAGCAGGAGAATCGCTAGAATCCGGGAGGTGGAGGTTGCAGTGAGCCGAGATCGTGCTACTGCACTTCAGCATGGGCAACAGAGCTACTCAGTCTCAAAAAAAAAAAATTATCGTGGTCCGTATTGGGACCTGGAACACCAGTCTAGTTGTGTCACAGATGGAGTGGGACAGGCTGGGGTTGTTTCTACCATGTCCTGTACCAGCCTTGTGCCGGTAAGACTAGGCACTCAGGAGCTGTGGGGAAGGCATCAGCTCCCAGGCAAAGGCAGGGTTGCTTCAAAGACAAGAAACAGGACAGGCGTGGTGACTCACACCTGCAATCCCAGCACTTTGGGAGGCCAAGGTGCGAGGATTGCTTGTGTCTAGGAGTTTGAGACCAGCCATGGCAACATGGCAAAAATGTGTCTACAAAAAATATGAAAATTATCTGGGTGTGGTGGTACATGCCTGTAATCCCAGCTACTGAGGAGGCCAAGATGGGAGGATCACCTGAGCCTAGGGAGGTTGAGGCTGCAGTGAGCTGAGATCAAACCACTGCACTCCAGCCTGGGTAACAGAGACCCGGCCTCAAATAAATAGCACCTAAGAAAACAGGGTCATGTTTTATGTACATTAGAATTCACCAAAATGATCCTAGGTCTCACCTTATGAATAAAACTTGAAAATATCAACACCTGAAAACACATTTTTGCCAGAGGTTGCTCTTTCTGGTTGGTGACTGTGCTTAGATGGTACATCTGTAGTATCACATCCTGCAACAAAGACATCATCGAGGTCTCAAGCCTGAAAATCGTCCCAGGAAAACCCACCACTCTGGCGTGAAGGCTAATGGGACTAAGATGAGCAAATCCCACTGAGATTTCTTTTTGAGACGGAGTCACCTGTCACCCAGGCTGTAGTGCAATGGTGTGATCTCGGCTCACTGCAACCTCCGCTTCCCAGGTTTTCAAACTATTCTCCTGCCTCAGCCTCCCGAGTAACTGGGATTACAGGAATGCGCCACCACACCCAGCTAATCTGTGTATTATTAGTAGAGGCGGTGTTTCACCATGTTGGCCAGGCTGGTCTTGAACGCCTGACCTCAGGTGATCCTCAGCCTCTCAAAGTGCTGGGATTGCAGGAGTGAATCACCGCACGCAGCCCCCACTGAGAGTCTCATTCCCCTCTCCCAGACCATGGGATAAGTTGGCCACAATGCTCGAAAGAGAAGCCGTGGGGACGCCATCCCCAAAGCAAGTGAAGCCCAAGCAGCAGGTGCACCCGGTCCTTTGCTTCTCTCATTAACGAAAGGTCACCCTCCATCTCCATCCAACCTGCCTTGGAAGCTAGGACAAAAT